TCTCATGGCTGTTGAAAAGGTATCAGCTAAGGCTAGATGGTGCATTCAAGATGACGAGAGTCTATTTTATTTTTGTATTGGCCTAGTCATTGCAAGTCCTCCCTCCCTTCTTCCCTCTCTATACATGCCCCTTTCTCCTCCTCTCTCCCTTTCCTCTTTTCCCCACAACTCACTACTTCCCTTCCCCTGTATCTGTCTACACAGCCCAAGCTAGCCTTGACTTTGTAATCCTCCTGTCTCAGCCTCCTGAGGCCTAGTTATTGTTATGGGAGTTATAGGCAAGTGCCACCTAGCTTAGTTGGTGGCCATGTATGAGCTTCATAACAGAAGCTGTTATGGTAATATGAATATTTAATCCTCCTTATTTTAAATTAAGTTATATTATCTCAGGTATAAGGGAAGAATACTTTTTCTTGACAAATCCAAATCATTTATTTGTTATTTTATTAAGTCATATAATTGTGTATATGTGTGTGTGCTCATATGTGCACATATTGAGGTCAGAGGTCAACATCTGTTGTTTTTCTTGATTGTTTTCCACCTTATTTTTTGAGTCATGATCTCTTTCTGAACCTGGAGCTCACCAATAAAGTTGGGCTTGCTAGCCAGCAAGTTCAAAAGAGCCTCCTGTCTGTTCATCTCCAGCACTGGGATTACAGGTATAAGTCACCGTGCCTGCTGATCTTTACAGGTCTTCCTGCTTATGTGAAAAGCACATTACCAACTGAAACATCCTGTATAGCCCAAGTCATAACAAAACCTGATGGCTAAAGGTGGCAGACACACCTGGAGGAACCTGAGCAGAGTACGTTGCAGTAGGATTTCTCAGAGTTGCAGACATTGATATGCATCAAGCCTCTTCAACAGGCATTTCCCAGACGCACCAGGCCCTGTCATGGAGCTCTTGTGTACTGAGTTGTTCTATATTGTATTTTCTCTGTTTCTGTCAAAGGCACTCCCTAAATTTTGTTTCTGGAGGATGCTTACTTGTGAAACAACCTGTGTGTGTTTGAAAACTGTAACAGATTGTTTAAAATGTGAGCCATTAGCAACTGTGACAGTGTTCAGACTACTGATTCGTAAATGCATCTCTGCCTTCCAGAACTCTGGGGATATCATAACATGTTGTCATTGAAGGGTTTTTACATCTTCATCGCAGACCATGACTTAGAGCTAATGTGTGTGTTCATTTAGCATCTCCTTTAGAAGAGAATGTCAGTACTGCACTTTCAGCCATCCCAGAGTAATGTGGACTCCCGTGGTCCTTTGCTTTAGCTGTCACACACATGCCATAGCCCTACAAACTTTCTTGAAAACAAAAGATAAAATTTCTTCTCCCTAGATTCTTAGAGTGGAGACCTGTAATAGGAGAGGAATGTGGCAGCCATTGTCTGATTTTCAAGTTTATTTCCCTTAATCTCTGGCTTGATTTTGAACATCTTGTATGCAGCCCAAATCCCAACTCTGCCTTGGTGCTTTGTATCTGTCCTTTGCTGTAGATTAAATCTGTCTTGTTTTTTTCTGTGCTTATGAGTTTGGAATGCATTTTGTTGCCCTTGAAGTAGCTTTCTAATATAGGAACCATAAAAGGACAGAATACATAGATCCTTCTAGAGTACCCATTTCTCTTTTTTTCATTCTTCCTTTCCCTTTGCATTTTGGGTTGCCTGTGACTAAAGGAAAACAAGTTTATGAAGAAAGGAGAAAAATGTTGTTAACTTAAGGAAATTATTGAAGTGAAAAATATGTTGTATTCCATGGTTTACTGAACTTTTAACTCAGGTGTATGTAGATTTAGAAGCTTAGTTCTGGGAATAAACCAACTGTATTGATCCACTCTGATTTTCCTCAACACGATGTAATTCTTCAACATGAGGTAGGGAGGTGTCTTCTAATCTGTTTAGGAACTGCTAGTTGTGATTGTTGACAACTAGTGCTTCAGAGACAGACTCAGAGCAAAACTGAAGGCAGCTTCTTCTCTTTTTGCCCACACGGTTGAGACCTGAAATCTTAGAGTATCAGAAAATTGTGTCAAATATATGAGAACTGCAGGTTTTACTACTATAACACACACACACACACACACACACACACACACACACACACACACATTATGATCATTTCAGGTGGGAGCTTGAAAAAGCTTAGATTTTTATATGGGAGGGAAAACAAGGAAGTTGAATCTTCTCTTTACATTTAACGCAGTGAAGCCCTTATGCTGATTTCATTTAGCTTGTGTAAGCTCTCATTGGTTCTATTTGAATACTTGTAAATCTCATCAGTGCCAATTCATATTTCAACAGAGAGAAAGAGGCCACGCTTCTGTGTATATGTGTGCAGTGGGCATGCACCTGTGTATAGTTGCATGTGGAGGCCCGAGCACCTCCTCAGGAGTTCTTTGGATGCTGTTCCAGTTGGATTTTGAGACAGATCTCACAGTGGCTTGAGCTAATCAATAAGGTTAGGCTGACAGCCAGTAAGCCACAAGGATCCATTGTGCCCCCACCATCATGCTCAACTTCTTTTTTAAAATGTAGATCCTGAGGGTCATACTCAGGTCCTCTTGCTTGCAAGACAATCAATTTACCAATGAGCCATCTCCCCAGCCCACATTGATTACTGCCTTAACTGATATCTTTTCATATGTTTTCTGGTATAAATACAATCTTAAGGCTGTCATGGCAATCAGTTAAAGTGTCAGTGAAACTCGTCCTGTAACTTTTCAAGCTTTTAATAACCTTGAGCATTTGTCACTTTTTTTTTTTTTTTTTTTTTTTGGTTTTTCGAGACAGGGTTTCTCTGTGTAGCCCTGGCTATCCTGGAACTCACTCTGTAGACCAGGCTGGCCTCGAACTCAGAAATCTGCCTGCCTCTGACTCCCAAGTGCTGGGATTAAAGGCGTGTGCCACCACTGCCCAGAGCATTTGTCACTTTTATAGTTAGGACAATTTGTTAATTTAAAATGGTTCACTTTGAAGAGCATTATGAGTTTTAGAATTTTTATAGCCTTCTGATTATTGTTGCTGCTGCTTTTTCCCCTCTCCTTTTTTTTCCTCATAGTTCAAAACTGAAACAAGTCCCTAAGTGGGGTGTCCAGCATCTGCTTCCTAGCGCTTCCTGACTTAATAAGCCCAACTGGAAGGTGTTACCAGTAGGACTTTGGGGGCTGGCAGTGGCCACCAGCCTGTGGGCTCTTGTCACAAGCCTTTTCATGATTTGCAGATGGCCACCATCTTTCTGTGTTCATATATAGGAGGGAGAGTGAGGTGAGAGAGAAACAGAAAATCCTAGTGTCTTTCCTGATGAGAATACTACATCATCCCAAGGGCCCTATCCTCATAACCCATATTCAGATACTATCACATTAGAGGGTAGGGATTCATATAAATTCAATAAATAATATATCCTTCACTGAAACTAGAAATTGCATCAGTAACTGAGAAATACTGATAGGCTACGTACAGAATGCAGATGGTGGTTATCTTTGGCTAATAGGATTAAAGGAGATTTTCTTCATTTTTAGTTAATTGGAAGAATATCATTTTATAGTTGAAAAAACCCACAATTGTATTATTTTCAAAGGAAAATAAAACTAGACTGTAGGATTTTGTAATAGTTTTGAGGTATTCAGATTTAAATTTTATTTTGATAGGATTTTTTTCCCCTGAAAATTAATGAAAGTAGCGACTGCATTAAGCATTTGGCTCTAACCCACAATAAAACCCAAAAAGTAGTTGTCATCCTTCCTTTGTTTCTTCCTCTTTCAATACAGTTACATTGTGGATAGTATAACAATTGCTACTACACTGACATGTGGGTGATGTTGGGCATGCAGTATAGAACAAGTGAATCTACAATAGCTACAGAAAAGATAGGTGCGTTTGTTATAGCATTTTAAAACTGAGTTAATAAACACAGGAGCCATGTATTGTATTTACTAGGAAATCTTTCAAGTTCGAAAAAAATAAAGAATTGTTGCCTCATTTTCATTAACATTTATTGACAAAATTAACTCTGACTCATTACATCTTTGTAGTGTAACACAGGAGATAGTAGAGATGCTTAAGTCACCTTCCTCTCATTCTGGGAGCTTAGTATAATGCTCCTTTGTTGTGCTTGGTGGCTTGTCCAGTAGGCACCCGCTCTCTCTTTTACACTTCCTCAAGTATTGTTTCTTATTATGCATTGTATAGAGTCTGTCACTGGGTATTTTTTCCTCAATTAATCCCACATCTGAATGTAATATTTCTAGTTTCTCTAGTCTGTAAATCAGTAGGTTAGAAATGGCTTGCGAGGTAGTCAGGGTTTTTTTTTGTCACGTAGGGACCTGACTGCTTGCTTGCCAAATAAATCATGATGTTGTGATATATTATTTCCAGTTGTTATAAATTTTCAATATTTATTGTACCAGTCATACCAAGTCAGGATTCAGTTATTTAATTTCACTTATATCTGTATTTGAGATGAGAATCCTCTCTGTTAGTAAGTTTGAATTTTCTTTTCTCTTAGAGTCAAATTCCAAGCATGCCTACTAAAAGCAGCCACAGAATATACAAAGAAATAAACAAGAACAAACTGGTTTTGTGTATACAAGTGGACTAAAACACGTATCCTGGTTAACGATATCCAAAGTTATATTTTTTAATTAAAATGTTTTTTGTTTGTACACACACACACACACACACACACACACACACACGAGACTCATATATATGCTTATTTTTGCCACGGTTGCTTAATAATTTGGTTCCTGGGCGTTAGTTAAACACACATGGGTTACCCCCTGTATTATGGACACACTATGTTCACTGAACATTCAAAAGTTACATGGCAAATGATCCTATGAGCTGAAAACACAAACCCTTCTGAACACCAGGCTAGTTCTACAGCATGACTAATCCTGTACTACCAAAGCTGCTTTCTTAAATTCTATTCTAGGAGCAGTGAAATTAAAAAAAAAATCAAAACAAAAATCCCTCAACTTTGCCTTTTATCAACAGGACACGAAAATTGCTTCATTGGAGCGGAACATCCGGGACCTTGAGGATGAGATCCAGATGTTGAAAGCCAATGGTGTGCTCAACACAGAGGACCGGGAGGAGGAGATCAAACAAATCGAGGTGTACAAAAGCCACTCCAAGTTTATGAAGACCAAGGTAGGTCCCAGAGGCTTAGCCTTTCATGTTCTCACTGCAAGAAGAAAGTTACGGTTTACCTGCTTGCTTCTGCAGAGATCCACATAATCTGCCCTATGTGAAATGAAATACATGCATAGTAAAGAACATGAGAAAATTTAATCCAGAAGGGGGTCCAAGGGGTTTAATGGGGTTTCTACTCTGTGAGGTTCAGGGGTAAGGTCCTTTGTGTTTCTCTGTCTTCGTTGTTAGCAGAGTTTTAGTCTTTTCTCTTCTACATTTTCAGTTACCCTTACCTTTTCTTTGAATCGTGGTTCTCTCTGGTTTCTTGTTCACCCCTAGACAGTGCTATGTCAGAAGGCATTGCTCTCATAAGCCTGCAAGCACACCTCAAGGCTATTAAGATATTCTGGGTTTACATAAGACAAATAATTTTAATCCTCAGTGCTTTCATTAAGTCAAATTGTTTAGCTTTTCTAAGCTGGAGTTTCTTTATTTGTGAAGTAGAGATCAGAAAAGCAGACCCATCGTTGAGCTGCTTTGATAATTCCCAGAGATTAGTTAACTAAAGCAGCCAGTCAGTTTTGTCTGGTCTTCAGAAAGCCCCCAGTACTGACGTGTTCTTGTCTCTCTCTTTGTAACTCTTCAGTATTTGGGAAGCATTATTAGAGTAGCCAGCTCCATTACTTCATATTACTATTGTCAGTTCAAAGAACTGACTTCTATTTGTTAAAATTTAACTTTGGGCTATATGTGGATGGAGAATCTAAAATGGTCAGTTTTACTTCTACACAACTATTATGTTTGTAAGTAGCCACAAATAGGTCTTTTGAGACTTTGGGATGCTTTTTCTATGACCCTGTAAAGCCATTTTGTTTTTTAAAGTAATCACCACTAATTTAACTTATTTCGTTTTTCTTTTTTTTTTTTTTTTGGTTTTTCGAGACAGGGTTTCTCTGTGTAGCCCTGGCTGTCCTGGAACTCACTCTGTAGACCAGGCTGGCCTCGAACTCAGAAATCCACCTGCCTCTGCCTCCCAAGTGCTGGGATTAAAGGCGTGTGCCACCACCGCCCGGCTCGTTTTTCTTTTTCTCTACTTTTGTGTCCTCTTTTTAAATTTTTCAATATTTTAAGCCTTGTATTTTAATAGTCTTTGTTCCCGTTATAACATTCAGCAGAGTTAGGGAAAGCAGTGGCTGAGGGAGGAGAAAAATTAAGTAATTTCCTCACATCTGAAACACATTTCTATTCTATCTGTACTTAAAAATATTATGGAGAAATAATACACTAAGCCTGTAATACATGTGTATATATATGTATTACATGTGTATTCAAGGAGTTAAATCAGACACAGTACCTTATTCTGAAAACTCCCTATCTTTAACACAGACATTGTAGTATGACAAAAAGTCTGGGTCAAAGATTAGAGATATCAGAAATAGAATGTCCAGTGACTTTGAATGGAGCCATTTCCTTTTGGGGATGCAAATACCAATGGCATCCTCTGTTCTCCTCTGTTCTAGTCTCTCATCTGGTTTCTTTCTTGCAGACATATCTCAGAGAGCTGAATTTCAGTATAGCACACACAGTCCTAAGGTGACTTGTAGACAGTGTTCAAGTCACTCTGGACTAGAGGATGAGAGGCACAGCTCTGAGTAAGAGCTGGAAGTTTGGGATGGTATTACTATTTTAGATTAAGTTCATTTTCCCACTCTGCAGCTTAACTCTGGGAGATTGAGTGAGTGTTCAAGCAGCCTACAACAGCTGAAAATGCACAAAATTGGCTGAGGCTGGCTGCCCTGCATCGTGGGCTCTGTCCAGGTGAACAGAGAGCATCCCTGTGGTCCTCAGCGAGAAGTCATTATAGCTGTTAGCCCACATCTGTCTGTGACCAAATCCTTGAGTTCCATTTCACTTCTCATTGTTGTTACTTTAAAGGCTTCCAGAAAGAGTCTACACCAAGGGATATAGAAATGATCTTGAGGTGGAATAATGTGGGAAGTCCGGGGGTGAGTGTTGACTAAAGACTTGAGATGACTCAGGCCCATCTCTACCTTGTCTTTGATAGCAGAGAGACTCTAGGGGAGAATTATGTCACCCAGCCATACTTTCTGCCTCTATAAAATGGGACAGCACTGTCAGACTTAGAAAATGACTCACAAGGATTAAATGAGAACTAAAAAGGCAATGTAATTAGGTGCCTAGCTTTAAATAAAGTGGCTAAATATTGTAAACACTATTCTTGAAGAACTATAACCCAATTAATAATAGTGATGGAATACCGTGATTGTTGAACTGACTTGGAAAATGGCTTTGAAATAAATGCAAATAAAAATGTGTTATACCTCATAAAAATGTTCCTTATAGACTGATAAACTTTAGTTGGAATGTACCAGTAGGAGTCAGTTCTTAGGTTTTCTGTTTGAAAACATGTTCTTGACATAACATTTATTGCTTATTTCTTTACTGATTTTTCTTGATTATCCCACAGTGAAGAGTGAGCAGGATTCCTTATTTAAGCCCAGGAATGCTGCCTGTGGTCGGTCGACAGGGAAATATTTGAACTAGCTGTGGAAAAGGCCATGTATCCTCAGTCTGATATTGACCTGTGGACTGGAACTAGAGTAGGTAGATGGGTGGGGCTCTGAAAATATCTGTGATTTAAAGTAAGTAACACTGAAGACCTAAATTGTTTTTTTTTCCTCCCAAAATGTTTTTATAAACATGTCATCATAGCAAAACCAGGACAGCATATTTTGGGAGAACATGGAAAATGAGCTGTAAAAATGCAACAGCAGAATTTTAGACTTTGAGCTGGTATGAAAGTAGAAGTATCAGATAGACTGGGAAGGTGGAAATCCTTGCACCTAGGAAGTCCATTGACACATAACCATTGGCCACAAGAGCTAAAGCTTCAGGAAAGACTTCCTGTCCTATGCAATGCTTCCTTGATGGAGACTCAAATTTCTACTCTTCCTACAAAAGGTAGAGAATTTGGACTGTGGAACCCGAGCCTAAGAGGTTGTGGGAAGCACCAGTTACTTTCAGGCACATCATTAAACCTCTGAGAATGTAATGAAGCATATAAATAATTGCTTTTCCAAAAATCTATGGCATCCTTTCTCTAGAAGGCTTTGTTCCCAGCCTGACCATTTTTGTTTACTGACCACAGTATTCCTGTTAGCTGTTCCCTCTGTCTTCACTGTTTGTCAAAGGTGCCACTGTGCTGTTATGGATCTCCCCATAACACATATTTTATAAACCTCTGACAGATTATAAACCTCATAACCTGCTGCATGATAATAAGCATGTCACTTTCTTGACACAGGGGATGAACTGCAGGGAAAAGAAAAGGCTGTTTTCCTTGCTGAGTGGGATTTGTAAGATGTTGGTTGTGTCACAGTTATAAGTGGGGGAATAATTCTCAGACAGAATGAAGTGTGCCTGATATCCACACGGACTTCATATGGAGCAAGTGACATAATTCCAGTGGTCTGTTCTCCTGGCCATCACAGAGAAGCTTTCCCTGGCTCCAGTCCGCATGGATATTCAATTGCATCACTTTCCATTTTTATTGAGTTTATGGCTATAAAAGAAGCAAAAGGCATATTTTTGGAAATATGTGATTCTTCTCCCCTTCCCCCCCATAAAATGTATTCCCTTCAGAAAAGCCTTTTTAACTTATTGTCTGCATAAATATTTATTTGAAATTTACCTCATGGCAATAATAGTCTGAAAGCTATTCTGAGGAGACTGCCTATTTAATATTTATAGACTGAAGCAGCTTTCTCACCGGTGATCAGCCCATTTTTGTGGAAGAAAGTAGGTGTGTGTGTGTGGACATGCCACATTCTTCCTTCCCATTCTCCCTCTTCTGAGCATTAGGAGCTTTTCCTTCACATTCCTTTCTCCATACCCCAGCTCTACAGCAACTTTCTCCTTGGGTATTTGGGAGAGTCTGTACTACAGCATTGTCTTTGTTTGAAGCACACTGAGCTGATGACCTCTGGAGCAGTGTTCAGTGGAATGGGTTTTATATCTTTTATATGTGTGCTGGCTGTATGCTGGGCCTCAGCTGAACAGTCTGTGATTTGGGGTTCACAGCCCCAATCCTGTGGGTCACAAGAGAGCTTATGTCATTTTAATTACCATTTTAGGCAACCACAATTCTGACCAGCTCTCCCTTTATGTTTTGTTCTTGTCGGGAGAGGGAACTCTTAGTTCTTATCTACAGGGAAGTGAGTGTGGATTCAGGATTTCTAAGTTCAGATGCTGGGCTGTTGGTGCAAGACCTTACCTGAGCAGTGATTGCTTCACTCACATTCCCATCAGTCCCTAACTGGGATTCTCCCCCCTTGCTTTCCTCTGGAGCCTTTCAGAATCCCTCTCATGACATTTGTCTTTTCAGTCCTCGACCAATTCTTTCAGTTTGGTAAGCTCAATGAAATGTGTTTGTTCACTGATGTCATGAGACTTCTTCCTAGTGGTTTTTCTTCTGTTTTCAGTTTGTCCACTCATACATACTGCTGTAGCTTCTTTTCTGGTTGCTGTGAAAACAGTACTGTAACAAAATCAGCTAAGTAGAGAAAGGCATGTTTGGCTCTGGGTTTCAGAGCGTTGCACTTTATTGCAAGGTCAAAGCAGTAAGAATTTGAAGCTGCTAGTCCCATCCTCAGTGAAGAGCAGAAAGAATGACCTGTGGGTGCTTGTGCTTAGTTTTCCTCTTCCCGGTCTCCTACTGCTCAGAACCACATTTGTTGTGAATGGTGCTACTCATCATGGGCTAGTCTTCCCACTTCAGTAAGTCCAGTTAAGGACATCCTTCACAGTCGTGTCAACAGGCCAACCTAGGCTAGACAATTCCTCACTGGGAATCTCATCCTGGGTGATTCTATGTTGTGTCAAGCTGCCAATCAAAATCAATTGCCACATTTGCCTTTTTTGTAAGTGCTGCAACCCGAACCCTTCTGAAGTATCCACACTCCTAGCAAGGCATACCACTCTGTTCATGCTCAGCGGCT